CCTGCAGGATATGACCCTCTTCTCTATGTGGAACTACCTCTTCTCGATTTCCCACCTGTCCCGCCGATGTCGAATGCTATGTTTGATCTGACACAGACGGGTTTGATCCCACTGAGCTTGGTGCCTCGTTTGGAATCCTCTGTGTGAATTCCCGCACCTAATCGTTTCTGTTACAGCCCTATTGCAACCACATCTCGCACGTACAGTCATGCTGTCCCCTCTTCTTCAGAGTCTGGTCTAGTCGGACCTGGCTCAATCCTCGGCTCTTCCATCCTGGAGAGTTCCTATATGGGCTCCTCCGCATATCCGGAACACGGAGGCGACGCTAGTACTGATGCGTCCAGTCCCATCACAAAACCAACTCGTGCCAAGAAAGCCGAGAAAGTAATGTTACAATATATCAACTCTAAGTACCCAAAGTGGGCAAGCGCTCTTGGCAACCTTCGGTCCATGATACAAGTCGCCATGTGCCATGGAGATACTGACAATCTTTTTCTACTCATCATGGCAGAATATGCTTCTGAGCGAAAGGCACTGATAGAGTCTATCTGGCCCCAAGCTCTCATTTGTTGTAATCTGCAGCCGACAGACTTGGAACCGGGTGGGTAGCTCAATTCTTCTGAATCCTTACAAACATGCTAATTTCTCGTGTAGTACTCGCTATACCAACCAAAAATATCATGTCTGAAGCGGAAATCTTGGCTCTTGTTCGTATTATTCTTGTTTTCTCCTACTCGACTCATCCCAGAACAGGGCGATCCTTGGTTTAGCCTTTGGATGTATGACAACAAGCGTCACGCGCATGATTCAATGATGATCAATTGTACTGGCTTTGACCTCAAGTATATCTTTGGGGTTGCCCTGCATGATAAGGCCATTTCCCTCACACTGAAGCTGATGCGCCTGCGGGCAAATTGTTTACCACTCGCTGTAAGCATTCTGAATTGGTTTTGTTGCTCAGCCTCTTATCTTGGCATGCAGGAGAATGGTTTGGTGTGGTTCCTCGAGAACCAGATCACACAAGAGTTGGTCTATCATATGATCTTCCGGAATAACAATATACCAGGCCATCGTGTCTCTCTTGCTGATCTGGATCCCGTGTCCTTTAGGAACGCAGCACACCCACCCATAGTGACCTTATCCTTAGTGGTGACCTCTTTCAGTTACTTTTACTCTACGTGCTGTTTTTATTTACTGATTTCATCAGTGTTACGAGGTCCTGTTGGACTACATTGACAGTGAGGCCGAAGACTCTCATAAGCTCATACCTCCGAATGAGATGTTTCTGCAGATATGCGAGATACTTCCTGTACTATTCAATCAATCTGATGACCCCGACCATGTGTCGTTCGTCATTGCTATGAAAGTGTTATGTACTCTCAAGTGAGTTTACATAGATGCGATATCTGCGCTGCTAGCTGATAAGAATGCAATGTGCAGGAAGGGCAATGTCCAACGGGTAAAACGGACCAGGCAAAAGGCAAAAAAAGCAAGTGTGGTTACCTAATTAATGTTACAGTCACATGTCGTCTACGAGGAGAGTTTTTGAAATGCACATTGTTTTCCGTTGGAAAGCCTTTGTGATTTTCCTATTCACTACTGCAGCTAGGATGCCACTCATCTTACGTGGCAATACAATATATATCCATCTCAGGTAAGCGACAATACTGTCAATATTCAGGCTCATCTGTGTTTCTTAAGGGTTTCAAGAATTTACTTCGCCTTGAGGGCTTTTTTAATTTCACCGATGGCACGCGATGGTGTTCCTAAACTGGAAATATGGTAGTCTAAGTGGGGACCTGGACTCGGCTGTATTCAAAACGTGTGTGAATTAAGTCATTCGTTATAGTCATTGTTGGATCTAATATTTTTATAGTTTGATTGCCAGCAATGCGCCTGTTACGACAAACGGTCGTGTGCGACTAGGATAATCTAACAGCGACAACCACGACAGTGGTACCGAGTGCTGAGAGTCGTCGGCCTTTACAGACAAGCAAAGGTTGCGTACTCGAACGTAGCTTGTGGTGGTTAACGAGGGGTTACGCTGAGATGATAGCAGGTTTACAGACAGTGAGAGGCGTCACTGAAGGTACGAGTCGATGTCGAGCAGGTAGCTTTAGCGGGACAAGGAGTTCAAGGGTAAACCTAGTAAGATTAAAGTAAGGAACGTCTACTGTTAATCTTCGACCTTATATAAGGCTACTCTTCGTATCTAAGCTCAGCCTAAAGCTGGGTTCTAATCTGCTTATCTACATGAGTCAGAGATAGCGTCCATGAGGCGGGCTTCTATCGTAGATAGGATCCACGTGAGGCATCCTTCTATCAGTACATGAGGCAAGCACGAGGCTTGCCTTCTATCTTGATAACATAAATAGGTCTTCTAGACCTATGTCGTCATGTGTCGTCACGTGCGGTCCAGACCGCTTATCTAAGCTGGCAGTTGCCGCTTATCATCTATCAGTCATCTATCGTCGTCATCGTCATCTGTCATCACAGAGCTGGTGAGACTCCGGTATCGTCTATAGCCGTGCGGTTGGCAGAGGGCTGTCTGCTGGCGGGGGACTCGTGCCATGTTACTGTAACAGCGCCATAGCTCTGCCATTGCTCCCAAACTAACTCTATAGGTTGTGTCAGCATTAAATCATCGTGTGGATATCCCCATTTTTTTTTCTGCTCAGAGTTTTCAACATGTCAAATATTGTTCTTTCCGCATCTGACGCAGCTCTGAACATTGATGTTCTTGGTATTATACACAATTAGAGCGACCTTGTATGTTGGCTCCAGATGAAGGGACGTGAAAGTGTCAGTGCACTTGCATATCGTTTTCATAGCATTCTCTCATGACTTTATATTCAGCTCCTGGACTCACTCTTTACCACAGCTTCAGTGCTGTTTGGATTAGTTGATCCTCTTGATATTAAGGCTCTTATTGAAGTGAGCCTAAAGGAGGACGCGACGCAAACTGGCCTCCAGCAAGAAGAAGAAAGTTGCTTGGAATACCTCAAGCGAGGAGGGCGTTTTTTGATGGAGGAGAGAATGGATCAGGCACAACTAGAAGTCTCATTGTTCAGTAACGCTATAGCAAATTTGTGTGAAGAGCTGAATGGTAGATGTCACCCAAGTGAGCTACGTTGTTTGAAGGATCGTATAACGACACTCTAAATTATTCATAGCTCCATCTAGTGTTAATCCAGAGAAACTGGTCACACCTAACGCTGTCCGGCATGCAGGTCCATGCCAAGCGTCCACCTTAGTCAATTTTGATTACTTCCAACCTATGAAGGCCATCCAAGAAAAATGTTATGCATGGCTCCGCACGTCATCGCAGTCTCAGGATACCACACAAAATTCTAATGCCAGCTGAATACTTCTTGATTTCCCAGTAACTCCACAATACCCCTGTCCTCATGACCATGTCCAAAGGGTAGGTGCTATTTATATTACAAGGGCCCAGTATTCTGACGCCGTACAGCCCAATGATCAGCTTATTCCCCTACCTCGTGTGATGAAAGCTTGGGTTAATAACTTCACATATTGTGCATTTACGAGCGCCTCATTGGCGGAAGCCAATGGGCCTTTACGCTTCGACCACGGCAACAGCTTCACAACAAAAAAGCTTAAATCCTTAGAGGTGCTCAAGTCTGATTTTCAGGTTCTGGACTTGAAGAAGCAACGCGCACAGTCTGAAGTTGACATGTTGTCTGAAGCCATCGCGCGCATCGCCAAGTTCCACAGCGATAATGATGGTGAGCATGCAGCTTCTTCAAGCTTCCTCGCACTGAGATGATTGTAGGCTGGGCTTCTGAAAGTGATGACACTGATGATTCAGATTTTTATCACATTGGGTTTGATGATTGCATGTCAACCTCGTCTATGTCTTCCGGTTCATCCCCGTGATACTTACTTGGAGTTGTACCCTGGGTTGTAGTAGGGTCATACGGCTTTCACACTTTACATTGATCTCATGCGAGTTAGTTGTACAATGGTCCTCATTTATGTTATTTCTGTTCTTTTCTATCACTATGGTCACCAATTAGGATCTATCCGCATGAAATGTCAGTAAAGCTCTTCAGCCTTAAATACCTCTAATAACCAGCGAATATACACACTTGTTCACCCTACCTCCGAGTCATCGCTAGCAGGTGTCCAAATATGGAGACACGTGTTTTGGTATTCAGGTAAGAACCACACGCGCGAGGGAGTGATACCTCGGGACTTCGACAAGACCAGTTTACTCATTCCTGTTCGTACTACAACACTCATACTTACAGTTGTGCTACCATGTACTGCCACCAATAAAATGAAAACAAACTTATATCTCACTTGTATGGTACTCTAATAATATTGATCAGCTAGTTTGTATGGAAGGTTCGATTGTCATGCTGTTGTGCCATTCAAAAAACATATCAATATTATATCTCCTTCGCATGGCCATATCTTCTTTCGTATATGTGTGACAACATAATACTATCAAAGCTGAGCATATAATAATGCGTTTTCAGGCCAGCTAAATATAATGAGTGGAAGGTTTAGTCATCACACTGCTGTCAGCCTATAATACATGCATCAAAAGTATATCTCCCTTGTATAATTATATCTTCTGTCATACGTGTGATACTATCATCCATTTCAAAAGCTTAGCATATAACTATGCATTTTGAGGCCAGTCAAATATAATGGTTGGAAGGTTTTGTTGTCACACTGCTGTTGGCCTTATAATACATGCACCAAAATTATATCTCCCTTATATAATCATATCTTCGTGATGATATCATCCATTTCTTAAAGCTTAGCATACAATTATATGTTTTGAGGCCAGCCAATTATAATGGTTGGAAGGTTCTGTTGTCACATTGCTGTCAACTTATAATACAAGCATCGAAATTATATCTTCCTTACATAATCATATTCTCTGTTGTACATGTGATAATGCCATATATTTCAAAAACTTAGCATATAATTATGTGTTTTGAGGCCAGCCAATTATAATGGTTCGAAGGTTCTGTTATCACACTGCTGTCAGCCTATAATGCACATATCAGAATTATATCACCCTTGTAAAATCATATCTCATGTTGTATATGTGTGACACCATGATAAAGATATCTAAAATTAAAGCTAGATGTATAATAATGTTTTTTGTTTGTCACATGCATCTAGTCATAACAGATTCAGGCCAATTTCCTGATGCACAAGCAGGCATGAGTGCATGAGTAGGCTACTAGTACATTCTTGTTCATTTTGATAGATAGTGACCTGATTTTATGCAGGAGCCCAACCGCTGGCTCGAGTGCCCAAAAAACATGGTGCCGCACAGCTCTTTGACTCCGAGTCAGATGATTTTGGGCCTGAGGGAAGTGACGGGGGCTTGTCTGATTCGGATAGTAGTGGAGCTCAGTCAGATGTCAACCCTGAGGAGTCGGATGACGGTATTCTGGGACTCGACCCGAAGAAACTAAAGGCCATGCTGGACTATGAAGTATGTGAGATTGTCATCTATAATTTCAATGACATTGCTTGACTCAGCTCATAGCGGCCTCAATTTGCTGGACATGAAAACGGTACATTCTTTGTTGAACTACTAACTACCTGGTACTCATGTAGCATCAGCAGGGATCTGTCCGAGTCAAACAAACAGTGTCCCATTCAAGTCGCAATCTCGTGCAAATAGCTCTGCCTCGTCAATCAGGTCAGTCACAAGTGCTCTGCTGTCAGATGATGATGCCCTCGCTGAGGAGCACATCACCATCAATCCTGAGGTCGAGGAGACAAACAAGTCTGTGCCCCACTACCGTGTTTCAAACCATAATGGTTTGAGTAAGATGGTCAAAGGGGCATTGAGAGGAGGGAAACAGCTTCAGAAGCAAGAGCAAGAGGTGCGATGGCCTGCTGTTTGGTGATGGCCCATATTCACTGACTGTACTGATTTATTTAGAGACCAACTTGGCAGTCACCCAAGGACTCCATTGATGATACAATCAGTGAAGGACCACCTGCTGTTCGCTCTCGTGAGGATGACTGGCCCGTGGCTTGTCGCATTGTGTATAGTGGTTCAGGCAAGGTAAATCTGACAGAGCAACAACCTCACATTCAAGAGATGCTCCGGGCAGCCATTACCTCCCTTCATGAACACATCCTGTTCGAAAACTCATATCCAGAATTACAGCAACAGAGAAAACTCATGGCCAACATCCTTATGTCATGTACCAAAGACGGAGAAGACTTTGACGCTGTGAGGAATCGCCTAGCGAAGGACTCGAAGTATGTGCGTGCGTTATCTACAGTGGTATGTAGTGGTTATGTTTTGTTTCATATTGCTGACTGCACTCTTACCTGCATTACAGCCTGAAGGCCGGATTGGCAGCATCCGTGGGAACATCAGAAAGGCTGCGCAAGCACATGTTGCCACCCACTATGGTCTGACCAAAGGAGCTGATGAGCAAGTCTCACACCTTCTCAAAAACAACACCTACATATATCCGGTGAATGCAAAGGTCCATACTACCCTTGTCTTATGTTCTGTCATTGGTCTAATGCCGATTTTGTGATATATTGCAGGGGGATCTTGTCCGCATGAAGCCATCTCAAGCTCCTGCGATTTTGGACACCATCGAGGATGCATTCTTCAACGACGAGCTGGGTGCAGGAGTGAAGTGGCATGACCATTTGACATCCATACTCGATGACCATCCAGAGGAAGTGGAGCTGCCTGTTGCAATGGTGGCTCTCGCTAGCACTGTGGTGAGTCAATATCTGTGGTTATATTATATACACTACTAATAGATGACACAACTCAAGGTATGCTCAGTTATTATGCAGTACTCCTCCGAGAAATATGACCGTGACTTCAACTCGGACATATATGGGGGGATTTATAGAAAGTTGGTCAGTGTGTTGAATGCCATCTTCCAGACCAGTCAGCAGAAGTTTCATGTGCTCATGCACTCGTTATATAAATCCGTCTAGTGAGTTCTAACATGGTCGACAGCAGAATTTGTCTGACAGCGGTATGGTATTATAGTGGATCAAAGCGCAAGGCAGATGAACCTAGCACCATGGAGACACTCATGTTTCTCAATATTGAAGATATGGCAGATGAATGATAGATATAGTGCACTGTTTGTAGATTTGATATTCAATGGATTTTTTTTGTTTTAATGTGATTGAATTGGAAGAACTGCCTGAAAATACTTCGCGGATTGGCAAGAACTGCCACAAAATACTGTTCTGATTGTCGTGAATTGAGATCCTATTTTCGACAATTTGAAAGGGACTCAACTAATTGATCAAATCATCTAATCTGTTATGCTGACCATCGGTCGGCGTGTGCGAACTAGGATAGGTCTTCTTAGCGATGGCTCGAGTGAGCCTACTGAAGCTAAGGGTGGTTCTCGGCTTGACGGAACGTCAAGGGGTTCCTCCGGTGATCTCAGTAAGACGGCGCTCGTCGAGATACAGGGCTAGCGGATACGGCTAAGAAGCGGGGAGCGACTTAGAAGTGCGGTCTTAGGCAGCTGAGCTGGGAGGCTTAGCTGAACAAGTTCTGGGATGAACCTAGTAGATTAAAGTAAAGTCTAAGTACAATAATCTGTCTTCTTATAGGGTCTAACTACAAGTGTTCAAGCTCAGCAGTCTGTATCTATAGTATATCTATGGATCTATGATAACAAGACATGAGGTCAGATAAGGTACATGAGGCTTAACCTCTGATCAAGCATGCAGCGCCAAGTGCGACTGCGCATAAGTACATGAGGCGCCAAGGGCGCTCTGGATCTTCATGAAGCGACATGTGGTATACATGCGCTGATCTAGGGTGACCATGAGGCGTACAGCCTCCATGGATCAGGTACAAGGCCGTCTAGGCCAGGGGCGATGTTACAGCGCCAGGGGCGGTGTCACAGCGGTCCAGACCGCTGTCTTTCTAAGTGCAGGCGGCGTGCCACCACGTCGGGAGTCTAGCAGAGCGGGGGCTGGCGTAGGTAGAGCTGGGGCTCCTGTAGGTGTTACGGATGCCTGTAACATAATCCATGAATTTCTCGCAGATTGGCTTGAATTCAATCTCATTGGATCCAATTTGACAAGGAGGTTTTTCCTGATGTAAGGAGAGCTATCATACATTTAGCACAGAGTTCGCATAGACCCAGTATCAGTAGCTCATACTACTACTACTACTAGTGACAACGGAGACGATGATCTTGAATCCATGTACAATCATTACAAAGTTTTACAACAGTCGTCGCCGCTGATTATAAACGGCCCTAGTCTAGGGTTCGGAATGAGTTTTCGCATTCCAAACCCTAGACTAGTAGTGGCTCTAAACAATAAACTCAATATAATACCATTATTTCCAACCATTTAACAATTATGACGCTACCGCATTATTAGATTTACATTCTACTATGGATAACTTTGTTCCACCAATCGCGTTGCTCCATCACTAGCGCCGTAAGCTCACCGTAAGCATCAAACTTCTTTCTGACAAGCGAGATTTCAAGGTCTTTTGCTGATGTAGTAAAGGAATCGAGCGCTCGCTGGGAAAAGACCACCGCAGTGCAGTGCACTCGATGCGAAGGACTGGCGCAGTTGCCAGTCCGTCCAAAGAACTCTTAATCAGTCGAAATCTGTCTACCAAAGTCTCTTCCGTCATCCGCATTCCCCTTCAGCACTCGGAGTAGTACACGTTGTATCAGCTCTACATGGGAAAAATATATCATTTGTTGTAGGAATATCGACCAAGGGATGCCTTTATCTTGGTAAGAATAATAATATGGATAGAGTGGGAATGTGCGTGTAAGTCAACCTAGTCCTGACATTGCGTGAAGCCGTTCGAAATGCGTAGATTCTGTGTGGGTATTGTCACGTAAATGAACGCACGAATTTGAGATGTCACGAAGGGCTTAAGCGAAAGGGGGATACCGTAACATTGTTTGGTGCATGGAACAGAACGAAGAATGCGTAAAAACCGTGAGATGCGTGTCATATGCGTGTTTGGCCGTGAGTGTGGGAGTCAAATGTGAATGGCAGGGGTATATTATGATATCGTGGATATGATTGGGATGAGGAGAGCGCGCATGCACCCCGCTGCCCAGTCGTGGCGATGGCCATGATCTAGTCACCTGGTAGCTCCTTCTATCAGAACGATCGACCAGCGGATTCGAATAGATGCGATTACGACGGGATAGCCTGCGCGTTTATGCCTGATATAGATATTGGAATGGTGGATAACGATACTGCATGGCAAGCCTCCTTTCAAGTGGTGGGGATCCTCCATTAGTCCAAGTGAGTCAACAAAAAAGTAGTAATGTCCAATATATAATCCCAGAGGTGGACGGTCTCCGCGGCCCCATTTTGTGGGATCAGTGCATCATCTGGGCTCGTTTCGGGATGAGTTTGGGATCTGCCTTCCTGGAGGGCAGCAGAGGAATCCGAGGGATAATGACGAGTGGGGTTCGATGGAGTACTGCGTGATGGTGGTGCCCGGCTAGTTCCGATGGAAGATGTAATAGGCGTCGACGAAAGGCTAGAAAAAATTTGAGGATACCATTTCCCAAACCAAACACTAGCACATACAGAGGAACACGTGTATCTTGGTGTAGGCTAGCCTGACTGTTCATGACGAATGAAGACGAACGAAGTCGCCCACCCCGCACGTTAGAGAACGTGGCGAGATTATGAGGCGCAAGTTCAATCGGAGAGTTCCATCCAACATCTGAGCGAACTCTTGGAAGATCGCCTTGACGTTTGGGCAGTAAGCGCATTAAGATGAAGAGGCGTTCAAAGGGTCCGTTTGGCAGCAGGCGGATGAGCGCGCCGAGGGGGATGGATACGAAGCCAAGGGCGATTGAGATGCCCCATTCACGACCTCCGATACGCGTCACCTGGAATGCGGTGCCTCCGATGAACACGATGACCACTTGCACAGCGATCTCTGCAAACCAGCCGTGAGGGTAGTCCAGACATAACACGACTCGACTCACCGATGAGGGTAATAGCCATGAAGCACCGATTGTTGAGCATGCCTTCAAAGATGTTGAGCTTCCGATCCAGCCTTCGCGCATTCACCGAATTGAATATCTGAGCAAAAACAAAGGCATTGAAGACCAGCGTCTGTACAATGGTGTTATTCCCCGACGTCTCCGCAAAGCCCAAAATCTGGATGCCAAGGAAGTGGAATAGCAGGATGACGGTGATCTGGTAGACGGACTGCAACAAAATCTGCTTGTACATATCCACAGTGAAAAGCGGTGCCGTCTGCTTATCAGGCATCCGGCCCAGTAGCGCCGGCGATGCAGGGTCCGTGGCAAGCGCAAGTGCAGCGAACGTGTCCATGATGATATTGATCCACAACAGTTGAATAGGGGATAACGCCAACGTTTTGGAACTAGGAGCGATGGCGGTTACGGAAGTGATCACCACAGCAGTAACGTTGATGGAGATTTGGAACTGTAGGAGTTCCGGACTGCGTCGTTCACGCAACGACCCCCACATGATCGCCTTGACGATGGAAGAAAAGTTGTCGTCCGTCAGAATGAATGTCGGACGCCTCTTTGGCTGCTTCTGTCCCTGCTATGCCCATGGAGAATCCTATGTGCGCCTTCTTGAGAGCGGGCTCGTCATCATGTCATCGCCAGTGACGGCAACGATCTTCCCGAGCACACGAAGCTTCTCCACTAGCATCTTCTTGTCTTCAGGCGAAGAACGCGCGAGGACCTGGACCGTGGAACGATCTCGAGCATCTGGGATTCGTCGAGCTGGCGAAAGACGGGTCCTTCCATAATCATATACCGCCAGCCGTGTAT